AAAAAAAAAAAAGAAAATGCTAAAAGTTTCGAGTCAGAAGAGAAAAACAATAAATAGATGTTCATAAATATCAGGCTGAGAACTAACTGGAAATAGACTTCTTAAAGGAAACACTGGAAGTTAGGACACACTAAAGCAATTCTGAAAAAATTCTGAAAGAAGCTCTACACAGTCAAATCATCAACCAAACATAAGTGTAGCATAAAGACATATTTAGGCTTTCAAGGATTTAAAAATTTTACCTCCTGTATATATTTCCTCAGTAAACTAGTAGAGAAGGCTCTGTATTAAAATAAGAAAATAAGCCAGGAAAGAACAAGATATTAGAGAGTTCTGGAAATTAGAGTCCCAACATAGCATGGTCACAAATAAATTCTCAGGCCCACCGTTGAAGAGATGTACTAAGATGGATGATGTAAGAGCAGGTTTAGAGAGCAAGCAGTCCTGATTGATTCAGCAAAAGGAAAGACTCAAGCAAATTTATCATGAATACACACACACACACACACACACACACACACACACACACACACTATGAGTGCTGGTTTGAATGGTGAGATTTTCAAAAAAGTTTTCAAAAAAAATAATATAAAAAAGCAAACATATCCTAATACATTGTTTAGCTCAGCCATGAGCAATATGTATATAGGCTGAATAATTAAAACATTAAACATTAATTAACCCCCAAATAGTGATGATAAGTGTGTGTGTTAGGGAGATTTTATAAGAGAATTAAATCTCCATCTCTCACAGTGGAAATTTGTAAACAGTATCTAAAACTTAAAAAAAAAAAAAAGCAGAATAAGCATGTTACTTGGAAATATAAAACAGCAGAAAAGTCAGTTAAAATCATTAGATGATATTGTCTTGGGTACCAGGAAGAATATATGGTATATGAGACTACAACTTTTCCATTATTTCATTTCATTTATAAATCTAGGAGTTAAATAACTGGATACAAATCAATAAAAATACAGAGCTTTATGAAATACATAAAGTACAATGGATACTAATATAAAGTATTTATAACGTGTTAATATATACAATAATATTAATTATGATGGAAACTAATGGATAATTGATGAAATAACAAATAAAGCCACTGACACATAAGGCAGAGATAGACCAGTTCATATATAAAGAAAACAAAAGGGAATAAAGACACCATCATGAGTTTTTAAAAAGAGAAAGATTTGAATATTTAAGAATTAAAAGGCTAGAGAAAGAGAGAAATGGGTATAAAGTTTCAGTCATACAAGATGAAAAAGTTCTAGAGATCTGCTGTGCAACATTATGGCTATGGTTAATGATATTAAGAGGGTAGGTCTCGTGGTAAATATTTTTATCACAATAATTTTAAAAAGGTTGAAGAGAAACCTTGTGGAAATTGATAACAATTTCAAATAATTTCATAAAGATTATTATATGATTTTTCTGTGAAAGAGGTAAAGAAAAGAATGTCATCTGGCCATAACAATATTACATCAGAAAAAATTCTGTAGAAACAACAACAAAAAAACAAGTACACATTTGACAACCAAAATCTTATTAACATAAAATTTATTTTTATTGACAAATATAATTATGTTCAAAGCCTGAAGGAAATTAAATGTCATTATTTAATTGAAATGATTTATATTAATTAATCTGATACTTGACAGATTTCCTGAAAGAAGAACCATGCTGACCTAGCCATACTGCAACAAAGCTATCAATTTCATATGGTTCTTGCTAATACCTATTTCTCCTAATTCCCACCTTACACTCCCAGTTCTTAATATCCATGAAACAACTTTCTGAATATGTATACTTAAAAATATTAAACGAGTGGGGCGCCTGGGTGGCGCAGTCGGTTAAGCGTCCGACTTCAGCCAGGTCACTATCTCGCGGTCCGGGAGTTCGAGCCCCGCGTCGGGCTCTGGGCTGGTGGCTCGGAGCCTGGAGCCTGTTTCCGATTCTGTGTCTCCCTCTCTCTCTGCCCCTCCCCCGTTCATGCTCTGTCTCTCTCTGTCCCAAAAATAAATAAACATTGAAAAAAAAAAAAAATTTAAAAAAAAAAAAAAATATTAAACGAGATATGGAGGTTTTATCTAGAAGTCTAAACATGTATTTCATGGGTATATTTACGGTTCAAAATTAACGTGCCCAATTTCTAATGAATTTACTCTTCATCAAAATATGTTCATACATATAATTTAAAAATTCATATAACTAACCTTTTTGAATGAGATGTCTTGATGTTTTTGATTTTTTACCAATTTCTTTTGTTTTTAATTCATATAATATAGAGGAAACATGTTTTCTCTGTTCTCTAGAACTTTTTAAATCAACATGAGAAAGTATATTCTGTGGAAAAAAATAAAAACAATGACAACCTTAATAATATCTATTACATACATTTTAAAAACTCTCACATTTATTATACATTACCATGAGTGATCTTATTTTTTTAAAAAAAAACAACAAAAAACTGTAAGGCAAATTGAGGAAAATATGAAAAGAGTTCCATTGTGTATGATTTTGATAAATTGTCTATTAATAGTAATGATATACTTTGAACCATGCTCAAAAGGAGGTTGAGGGAAAAGGGGATATGTCAGGAGGGTGCCATGACAAAACAAAACACAGAGGGGAAGATAAAAAATAACAAAGAGAAACAAAATGGTGTTGCCCAGAAAGCCTGAAGGGAGATTTAGATTAAGAAAGGGTAGGGGCACCTGGGTGGCTCAGTCAATAAAGTGTCAGATTTCAGCTCAGGTAGCTAGCTATTCCATGGTTCATACCGGGTTCAAGCCCCATGTTGGGCTCTGAGCTGAAAGCTTGGAGCCTGCTTTGGATTCTGTCTCCCTCTCTGTCTGCCTCTCCCCCACTGTGCTCTGTCTCTTTCTTTCTCAAGGGTAGACAGAACTATTTTACAGATACTAAAAATACTAAGGAAGAAGGAGAAATGGGACCAAAATTATCACAAGTCTTAAAAGTACAAATGGATTTGGTATGTGTAGAAAGAATAACAAATAGAATGTTGAAAGGGAGTTTCATGGGGAGTTGGGGGCACTTTACATAGATGTAAACTATGCAATGTCTATAAATAGGTTGGGAATGTTTTAATAAGTAATACTGTGTTATTGGCCTTTGTCTTCACAGTCTATCCACCAGTGATACAGAGGATTCACCAGATCACCAGAAACCCAAGATCTTTCAAAATTTATCATCTCTGTCTTACTGCCTCTACATGGTTTCTATCTTCAAGGTTTACTCATGAGTCAAGGTAGCTCCTAGAGCTCCAAACACCATGTCTGTATTTCAGTCAGCAAGATGGAGGAAAGGGTAAAATGACAAAAGGACATTGGCCATGGGTCTTAAGGTACTTTCCCAGAGGTCTTTCCAATAACTTCTGTTTATATCTTACAGGGAGGATAAGCAATGCAGTCTTTTTGCTAGGTAATGTTCTGCCTAGAATAAAATTTAGGGTTTATTGTCAAGAAAGAAAAGGAGAGTATTGGTAGGAACCGCAGTCTGCCACAGAGTAAAGACCAGAATTTGGGAGGGAATATACATTTGTATTTTAAGAAACCTTCCCAGGATATCATGCTTTCCTTGATGAATTCCACTGGCCTAAATTCCGAAGACTCTCAAATATATATGTTCAGATAGTACTCCTTTCTGAGATGTTTGTTTTTTATGTAGTACTCATTACTAACCATAAATCGTGTTCTTTCACCCTGGAAAATCTCACAGATATCTCATATTGAATATAATTTAAGTCCTTTCTTTCCTCCGAATCTGTTAATTATTATATCTAGTTTTGGTGAATAGCACCACCTTCATCCAAGAAGAGGAGAGTCACATAAACTCTCTAATATGTGACAACAGATAGAATTTTGAAATAAAAAGCTCATTATCATATTTCCCCTACTTTGACCTATCCACTTGTGCAAATATCCTTTATTCTACAATTTAGAAGAGAAACTTGGATATGTGTCTTGGTACTCTACAGTTTTCTGCCAAAATTCCTATACAGCACAAAATAGATGTATTTAATCAAATCTCCTTGAGTTTCTATCTTTTAAATTTTACATGTGATATTCTTTAATTTACTGAAAACAATCTGTCTCTATATGGTGACTCATTGTGCAAGGTTTTTTTTTTTCATTTTTTTTTTTAAATGTTCAAGATAGGTACTAGGTATTAGGAGGTCCTAGAATGAACCTGTTTTTATTCTTCACGAAAAATCCCTCACTAGTCAACTGTTACACAACACAATTTCTTTCCAGTCTTCACGTGACAAAAATGCTACTTTTTGCTAGAAAGACTAGCAGTTACTTCTGAGCCTATATGTTCTCTTTATATTAAAATTGCTTTCCTAAGTTTGTCAAGAATAATTATAATAACACAATATTAACACATTATCAAAATATAACATTATTTTAAGTAATGTTGCTTCTATTTTCATTTGGGTTCCTTTCTTCCTATTAAACAAAGTATACAAAAATAATATAGGCAACTGTTTTGCCATCAGATATGTTACAATCAACTCTAAATGCTTTTTCAACCTCAAATTCATCTATCAGTCCTCTTCAATTTGTCCTCTGCATCATCAATTTTGTCTTTTCTTACTTCTATAAATTTTGCTCTATTTTCATAACTTGTATCTCCCTACTAACAATGCAATTCATTGTATGTTAAAAATCACCTCAAATTCTGTTTCAATATAAATGGACCCTTTAGAATGCAAGGACATGTTCAGCAATCTGTTTCTAATAATACATATTTATTTGGCTTCCCCTGAAAGAATAAGTAAATTTTTAAAATAAGTGCATATCTGTCAGATCTGAATAGCCAATCTCTATCACAAAAAAAGTCAATGTATAGAATCATGATATTTAAAAATTAGATTACATAGATATTTAAAATATAAATTTTCCATATTTGTATTCTATTTAAAAATTAAATGCATAGCTAGTTAGTTCCTTTCAAAAATATATTTTCTTTAGCTCTCCCAGTTATCATTTTTCATATATCCACATGTCACTGCTTGTCATCATTTAAAATAATTTTATCTTCCTTGGCTTTTATAAAAGAATCCATGACAAAGCCTCCATACATGATAGTGAAACACATCTAGGAAGATGCATCTATGTCCTAAGCAAACTGAGGCTTACACAAGCTGCCAAGGTAAAGAAAGTGCGCTTTTCTGTGTATATACTTCAAGAAGGAAAAGAAAGGATATGCCCACTTATTGATATTCAAACTCATGGAGAAGGTTAAAGTTATCAGAAGACTGGGGATAATCTAATAAATATAGTGTTTTCAATAACATAAAGTATTAACAGTTTAATGCTAGCATAACAGTTTCTATTAACTGAAGTACCTTAAACCTAACACTGGTCCTCAATAATTTTAGAAATACTTTTGAGGATCTTTGGTGGCATTTGGAAGAGGGATAATCACCAGGGAGCAGTATAAGTTGACAACTGATTACATTAGGTATAATTTCATTTTTAACAGGGTCAAAATTAATTCAAGTCAAACATACTTGGCATGATAAACCTGCATTTTAGTAATATGGTTGAGAAACATTTTCACAACTTTGGAAGGCAACATGATTAGATGGAGATCAGAGATGTTAAGTCATCAAATGAAGAAGAGTAAGGACTAATACAATGATACAACCTGAAGTGAGATCTCTAATATCTTACACAGATATGTTCTTAGCCCTATCATGATCAACATTTATACAAATGATTTGAATAATAATGAAGGAAATGTTTATGAAATTTTTAATTTTTTTTTTCAACGTTTATTTATTTTTGGGACAGAGAGAGACAGAGCATGAACGGGGGAGGGGCAGAGAGAGAGGGAGACACAGAATCGGAAACAGGCTCCAGGCTCCAGCCATCAGCCCAGAGCCTGACGCGGGGCTCGAACTCACGGACCGCGAGATCGTGACCTGGCTGAAGTCGGACGCTCAACCGACTGCGCCACCCAGGCGCCCCAAATGTTTATGAAATTTTTAGGTGAGGTGGCGACAGAACAAAATCAGTTAACACCAGACACAAGTTTTAAATATTATCAGTAGAGTGGAGCAATAGATCAAATTAAACATGACGTATAATAGAAATAAATATTACAGTTGGGCAAAATGCATAAAATCACTGCAATACATAAAGTGATTTAAAGTCATAAGTGATAATAGGATACAATATTTTAGTTAAGAGTAAATCAAGAGTACATTGTGTGATGACTTTATGCTATATTAAGCATTTTATCTCGAATGAAGAAAATCACAGATCACAAATTTCTGATCAGAACCACAGTTGAAGCACTGTGTCAGGTCAGGGTAACATATTTTCAGATGAGGATAGAAAACCTGGAATGTGAAAAGAGAGCAGACTACCTACTGAATTAGTTTTAAAGTAAGCCCTATATACATAAGCCATATTTAAATCCAGAGTAGAAAAAAGGCAACAAAGAGAGATTCAGGCTTCTTACCTCCCCAGATTGCCATCTCCCTCATCTTATAAAATGATAGCATTCTCTTGTTCAAACCACAAAAACAGAATTTTTTCTCTATTTTTTCCTTCTTTCTGAAACTCTATATCTAAGCCATCGGCAAATCTTGTCAATTCTCCCTCCTAAATGTATTTCAAATCTGTCTACTTCTCTTTATTTTCACATTACTTGTTTAGTGTAAGCTTTAATCATCCTTTCCAGCCACAAATGGCCTTCTGTTTGTTTCTGCCTTCACCCTGGCTCTTACAAGATTCATTCACATTTATCAAAAGATAAATCTGATATTTATTTTAGCTTTAAATCCCCTAATAGTTATCCAAGGTGCCTAGTCATTACTGTAAACTGCAAAACCCAGAAAAATATGGCCCTGAACCACAAAGCCAAATTCATCTCATGCTACCCTTGACTTTGTTAATCATACTCCTGCAACATTGGATTTCATGCAGTCAGTCCCTTGAACTCCACTCAAATAAAACAAGTTACTCCAAGCCTCAGGTCACTGTGCAAGTTCTTTGCTTTATCTAGAACACTCTCCTATATTTTGCATGGCTAGCTTCTTATCCTTCAGGTCTTAACATTATTGGAAAAACATTCTGTGAAAATTTTATGAGAAGTAGGCTTTCTCCTATTATTCTCTATCTCAGCAATCTATTCATTTTATTTAAAACATTTATCACAACTTTGTTTGATTCCTTTGGTTACAACTTGGTTTTTGTTTTGTTTTGCTTTTTGCTTTTGTTTTTTCCTAGAATCTAGTTCATCAGGGCAAGAACTCTATGCTTGCTTTCTTTACTTAGCGTCAAGAATGGCCCCTGGCACTCAGCAAATACTCA